CTCTTTTCTCAACATCCTTGCCAACACTTGCTATCTTCTGTCTTTTTTTGATAATAGCTGCTCTGACAGGTGTGAGATGGTATCTTATTTTGGTTTTAGTTTGCATTTTCCTAATGATCACCAATGTTGAGCATTTTTAAATATATCTGTTGTCCGTTTTTATCTCTTCTTTTGAGAAATGTCTATTGAGATTCTTTGCCCATTTTTGGTATTTTTCTTTGCTTTGTTTTCTTGCTATTGAGTTGTTTGAACTTCTTACATATTTTGGATATTAACTTCTTATTCAATGGATCCCAACTATTTTCTCCCAATATGTAGGTTGTCTGTGTACACAGTTAATTGCTTTCTTTGCTCTGTAGCTTCTTGTTTTGAAGTGATTCCATTTGTCCATTTTTGCTTTCTTGCCTGTGATTCTGGGGCCAAATACAAAGAATTATTGTGTAGACCAAAGTTATGGAGCTTTGTATTCCATGTTTTCTTCTATTACTATTACAGTGTCTGTCCTTAAAATCAGAGATTTAATTCTTTAATCCATTATGAGTTGATTTTGTTTTAATGTGTTGTAAGATAAAGGTCCAATTTTATTGTTCTGTATGTGGATACTAATTTTCCCAACATTATTTATGTAAGAGACTATCCATTTCCTATAAACAAATACAGTAAAACTGCATGATACGAAATCAACAAACAAAACATATTAGCATTTCTGTACGCTAACAACAAACTATCTGAAAAAAAAATTTAGGAAAACAATCCATTTGTAATAGCAACCAAAATACTTAGGAATAACTTTAGGCAAGAAAGTGAAATATCTGAAAACTGGAAACTATGAAACATTTTTACAAAGTTGAAGTGGACGCAAATAAATGGAAAGATATTCTATGTTCATGGATTAGAAAAATTAATATTGTTAAAATATATATACTACCCAAAGTGCTCTACAGATTCAATGCAATCTCTATCAAAATTCCAGTAACAATTTTCACAGAATTGTACATTGGAACCCAGAATAGCCAAGTCAATCATGAGCAAAAAGGACAAAGGAGAAGGCATCACAGTTCCTGATTTCAAAAATTGGAACGCAGACTAACCAAGTCAATCATGAGAGCAAAGAACAAATCTGAAGGTATCACACTACCTGATTTCAAACTATACACAGCTATAGCACAGAATGTAAAACTACAGTAATTAAAATATCATGTACATGGGCCAATGGGACAGAATAGAGAGCCCAGAAATGAACCTGTGCATGTATGGCCAATTGATTTTTGACAAAGGTGCCAAGACTTTGCACTGACCTATTATGTTAAGAGTACATAATTCGTATCACTTTTACAGTGTGTGTCATTTTTCTATTTAAAATAATATTGAGTATCACTGTACATAAGAATCTATTATACAATGGGTAACAAAACAGAGAGTCACCATAACACTAAGAACAAGGGTAATAATCTAACCCCTATTGTTCTTCAGAGAAACCTGTATTATCTCCCCCATGCCACTAGATTTTTACATTCCTCATAATCTAGTGCCACTACTTCAATTTACATCCCCATATTCCCTACCCATTACTTTTCAGCATAATCTTTTTACATTACATTTTGGAAAGTCATCCCAGTATAGCAAAACATAATCATTTCAACTTTTGTTTAATTAATTTATTGAGTCATTAATTTTACAGCCATTGAACGTCTACTACAGATGAGAAGCTTAGCTGAACTAAGGAAATAAACTGAAGACAGTTGTCTTTAGTTTTATCACAGGCTAAAAAAAAAGGGATAGAAGCCTAGATATGATTACTTATTATTCTTATCATTGGTGTTATTAAATAGTATTACTGACCACCTGATTATACTTTAGGCATATATATTGTAATTGTATAATAATATTTTATGTTATTCTGTGGTTTGTTATGTACCAAGCACTGTGTTTTTCCTATATTAGTTTGCCAAGTCCTGTGAGATAGGTGTTACTAGTTCCATTTTAAGAGAAATCTGAGGCTCATGCAGGTAAACAATTTGTCTAAGGGCTGCCTAGCAGGTAAGTTTTAGAGATAGAATCAACAACAGCAGTCCAGTACTAAAACCCATACATATTCTGTTTCATTATGATCCTTCTCTGGTATTACTGAGCGAAAGCTCAGATATCAATTAGTTCTTTTCAGAGGATTTGAAGATGATTTCACGGTGGAGGTCGTATGTAAACAAGGTCTGAAGGAGGCCATATGTAACAAGGTCTGAAAGTAAGGCCATGTATTTCAACCCAAGACAAACATAAAGCTATGAAATAGAATGGTGTGACAGTTCATTGTTGAGTAACTATATATACATGTTGTGTAGTCTGTGCCACCTAAAGATTTTGGGCCCTACTCTGCTGTAGCCAATGGAACTAGAACAATACACTTGGAATTCACAAACATAGGTACAAAAAGGAGCTATTCTTCACATAATTTGAAATCGTTCCTGTGCATATATTGCTTTATGCTGGAACCATAGGTTTCTGGAGAACAGGATCTATACCTTTTATTTGTTTCATAAAGTTTAATATCACACAGTAAAGACTTCTTAAATAAATGAATAAGCTGGACAAGGGAACTGGGAAGTTGTTTGATCTACCTGTACACTGAATAACAAAATAATATTACTACTAATCATAAGTTTAAAATGCTAGTATGACTTCTGAAACTGATGATTCACTTCTTTGAAACATGCTAGTGAGGCCAGTAGTGGAGATTTGATCATGTCGGCTTTCTCTTCCTGTCATAGACATAGACATTGGCCTAGACAATTTCTGTGCTTTTGAGAAGGACCCTGTGAGAGTATATGAATCAGATGCTGCAAATTCATCATTGCCAGTCTTAAAAGAAACTTAAAGTGCATGCTCTCCTGGCAGTGAGACAGAAAATGTCAATTTTGCATTGGAAAATCAGCAAAATTTTTATAGTTGACCTCCCTAATCATGTTACATATAAATCCAAATTGTGTTGCAAATTTATCATATTTTTCTCGGCATACCTTATAAAAAGTTTAACTTCAAAAATAAATACCAGAGCATATCATTAAGGAGCTTTATTTTAAATCATCTTTCTGCTAGAAATAGGGCTGGTCTTCTACTTCTCACCTCAGAACACTAGGACTAATTCAGGGACCCGTTATTTCCTATACAGTTATTTAAATAGAATATGAGAAACTTTAAATCAATGTGATCTCTCAGTTGTTTAGAAAGCAAAATAAAAAACCCAAACCAAAATACTAATCTTATGTCTCACATATCAAGGAAAGATTATAAATAAACACTGATATGTCACAAAAGCTTTGTAATAATATTAAAATGGAAGGGTAGAGAGTCATATTAATTTTCAAAAAGTTGCTGAGTGTAAAATTCAATCTTTTAAAATATTTTTCATTGTAATATATCTATGAAATAATACAAAGTAGATATTTAACAAAGTCCATTAGCTTTTTAAAACCTATTATTGCAGATATATAATTGTATAGAAGTAGCATGCATGCAAAATATTTCAAAGATTTTAATAAATTTACTTTAGCTCTCTGACAATAAAAAGGTTAGGAAGATAACAAAACTGTTTGCAAAAATGTATAAACAATATTGAGTGATTTGGAATTGCTGTTAGTATAATAAAATCAAATACTAAATGGTATGAAAAAAATTATATGTAGCCAAAATCCAGAGAGGGAAAGATAATGCTCAACAGGAAAAACAGATTTGATCATATCAATCATGTTAAAAGCTAGTTTAAAACAGTGATTTGAATTAGTTCAAATTTTTAAAACTTTTATTAGCTACTACAGTCTTATGGCATTTTTATTGAGCTTGTATTATTTTTATGCTGTAAGACCAGGACATATGGAAATCTCAGAGCTTTTACCAGTAACTAAATATTTGATTGAACTCTTTCCTCTTCCTTTCTTACTTCACTTTATCTTGAGGCACAAAGAAAAAAAAAAAAAAGGTCACCAGGAAAGAGAGAAATGCTACATTGCAAAATGAATTGTGAGAACATCATGACCAAAAACTTGTGACTGACTCACAAAGAAAATAAAGAGGAGACAGGACAGTAATATAAAGAGAAAACATTTTTAAAGGATTATTTTTGAGAGAGCTGTACTATGAATTCCATCTTCTCATTGAGTTACAAAGAGAACAATGTCTGCCTAACCTCAAGCCTAATAAGAAGGATTTCAATGAGATTACTTTGAGAGCTTGATGTGTGTCCTTCGTAATTGAGAGGCTTAACAGGCTGGTGCTTAAGTCAGGACCAACAAAGATAAAAGGACTAGTGTCAACAGAGTGAAAAAATTTTTCTGCAAAGAATTTACACTCATTTTTCATGAGTCAAATGTGCTATAATATTGCACATTGCATTCTCCAGGAAGCAGATACTGGAACAGTGATTAGCTACCTTGCAAAAATATATTAGTTAGTACTCTTGGGATCAACAGCTGCGTAAGGGAGAGTTGAGAAAGAAGTTGAGTTGGGAAGTTGAATGGCTCTTCAGCATTTACATGACTTGGGACAAGGGGGCAAGTCTGTTGTGTCCCCATGTTCTTTATTTCTTTATATGTTTATTTTTGGAGATGGAGTCTTGTTCTGTCACCCAGGCTGGAGTGCAGTGGTGAGATCTCAGCTCACTGCAACCTCTGCCTCTCAGGTTCAAGCAATTCTTCTGCCTTAACTTCCTGAGTGTCTGGGATTACAGGCACACACCGCCACACCCAGTTAATTTTTCTTTATTTTAGTAAAGACAGGGTTTCACTGTGTTGCCCAGACTGGTCTCGAACTCCTGAGGTCAGGCAATCCACCGCCCTGGGCCTCTCAAAGTGCTGGGATTACAAGCGTGAGCCACTGTGCCTGGCCAAATTTCCCCATGTTAATCAGTCTTAGGACACTGCTTAGTCATGGAAGGAAATAATCCGAAACAGTTGATAGCTAAGAGTGGCCCACCCACTATGTGGCTAATTAAGTCCTTCTTCCTGAAGAGAAATACGGACCGTTAACTACAACAACAATCCCAAATTCTGAGTTCTATATGAGGAACCCCCAGATGGAATGTCAGACTGTGGTCTTCTGCCTCCTAAGGTAAGGGCACGCTAGGAGTGAGTCCGATGAAGTATATTATTGTGGCGTAAGTCAAGAGTGTATTTGAAGTGATCAGGTAAAGAAAGAACACTGTCAGAGCCAAGAGAATTATATCACGAGACCTAAAGGGAGATTCTCTTTAGCTGTCCAATAGAAAAGATATTGTGAATTACATATGTAATTCAAAATTTTGTAAGCCACACTTTTATAAAGTAAAAAAGTAAAATTAATTTAACAATTTAAATTATTTATATTTTATAACTTAAAATACAATTTAAGAAACTATATATTTCTATTTCAACATTGTAGTCAAAACTAAAAAACAATTGTTGAGATATTTTGCAGTATTGTGTCATACTAAGCCTTTGAAATCAGTGTGTACTTTACTCTTACAATAATCACATTTCAAGTGTATAGTAGCCTCACGTGTCTGTAGATTGAGCAGTGAAGCTCTAGAGAACCAACAAAAATATCTCCAGAGAGAAGTCAGCTTTAAATACTTGCCAGACCTAGAAATTTCCAATCCATTACATGATAGTGGCAATCAAATCAGAATTTTTTACATCTCTTACCTCTCACCAAACCTACCCTTGAAAATGTCAAAAACAGCAGCTGTTGAGTCGGAAAGAAAGAAGTTGACTATGCCTGCCTCCCCACGGGAAATCAGTTCAAGCTATTTGAGAGATGGAATTACATTTCCCTAAGTAAAAAAAAAAAAAAAAAAAAAAAAAAATTAATGTTTGAAGTAAATTGAATATTTAGAACATTGTAAGTTGAAACCATAAACATATACTAAAGAGACTACTTTTTTTTCAACAGTTTTATTGACATATAATTGACATCTAATCGGCTGCACATAAAGTGTACAATGTGTTAAGTTTGACATACACATACACTCATAAAACTATCACCACAATTAGATAATGAACATATTCATCTCTCCAAAAAGTTTTTCATGCCTCTTCTTAATCCATACCTCCTGCTTCTCCCTCCCTCCTAGCTCCCAGGCAACCACTGTTCTTTTGGTCACTTATAATAGTTTGCTTTTTGTAGAACTTTACATAAATGGTATAATAAAGTATAATATCTTGTTTGTCTAGTGTCTTTCACACAGCGTAATTACTTTGAGATTTATTCATGTTGTTGCATGTATCTGCACTTTATTTATTTTTATTGGTGAGTAATATTCCCTTGTATAGATATACTAAAATTTTCTTCTACATAACTGGCATTTTATAAAAAATAAAAAAAGAAGAGATAAACCAAACTTTGTTTGTATATTCACCTGCTTTGAATATTTGTATTGTTTCCATTTGGCAGCTATTACAAATAAAGCTGTTCTGAATATTTGTGTACAAGTCACTACATGAACATATATGCTAATTCTCAGGCAAATATCTAAGAGCAGAATTGTTGGATCATATTATAGGTAAGTCCATGGTTAATATTTAATTAAATTACCAAATTGTTTTCTATACTAATTGTACCATTTTACATTCCCACCAGCAATTTGTGAGAATTCTAGTTGTTCTACCTCCTTCAGAACACTTGATATTGTCAGTCTTTTAAATTTTATATTTTTCATTATGTATGCAGTATATGTCACGGTGGTTTTAATATACATTTCCTTGATTACAAATGTTGTTGAATATTTTTTTTCAGAAGCCTAATTTATATCCATAGATTGTTCTATGTCAGTGTTTTCTCATGACCTTATTTGCTATTTGTATACCTTCTAGATGAAGTGCAAGTTCAAATCTTTTGACTATTTTAAAACATTGAGTTTATTTTCTTATTTTTGAGTTTTGAAAGTATTTTATATGCTCTGGACACAAGTCCTTTATCAGATATATGATTTACAAATATTATCTTCTCGTCTGTGGCTTATATTTCCCTTCTCTTGCTGTTTATGAAGAGCAGAAGTTTTTTATTTTGATAAAATTCAAATTTTTGGCCGGGTGCAGTGGCTTGCGCCTTTAATCCCAGCACTTTGGGAGGCCGAGGAGGGCAGATCACTTGAGGTGAGGAGTTCAAGACCAGCCTGGCCAAAATGGTGAAACCCCGTCTCTACTAAAAAACGAAAATTAGCTGGGTGTGGTGGCCTGTGCCTGTAATCCCAGCTACTTGGGAGGCTGAGACGGGAGAATTGCTTGAATCCTTGAGGCAGAGGTTGCAGTGAGCCAAGATCGTTCCACTGCACTCCAGCCTGGGCGACAGGGCAAGACGCTATCTCAAAAAATAAAAATAAAAATAAATTTTAAAAAGTCAATTTATCAATATGTTATTTCATTAATCCTAAACTTGGAAATGTATATAAGAAACCTTTACCTAACTCAAAGTCACAAGGAATTTTTTTTTTTTTCTAATTTTTCTTCTAGGTTTTTTTTTTTTTTCCTTTTGTTTTTGACAGTGTATTGCTCTGTTGCCCAGGCTGCAGTGCAATAGTACCATCTCAGCTCACTGCAACCTCTGTCTCCAGGGTTCCAGCAAATATCCTGCCTCAGCCATCCAGCTAGCTTGGATTACAGGTTCACGACACCACACCTGGCTCATTTTTTGTATTTTTAGTAGAGACAGGGTTTCACCATATTGGCCAGGCTGGTCTTGAATACCTGACCTCAAATGATCCACCCACCTCGGCACCCCAAAGTCCGGGGATTACAGACATGAGCCACCGTGTCCAGCCTCTTCTAGGATTTTTATAGTTTTTGTTTATGTCATTTAAGTCACGATCCATTTTGAATTAATAATTCCATGTAGTGAAAATATAAAAAATTTAACCCTTTCTTGAAAATATCACCGTCTTTAATTGCGTAATTCCAAATATCTCAAAAGGCATTGTTTTATGTATTTTGCCCAGTTGTTTCAAATTGACTTACCTTTTTTTTTAAATCTATAATTTTTATTTATAAATGTGTTTTGAAAATTTTTATGTCCATGCTGTATCCATTTCATAGCAGTATGGTATTCTATCTTGGAGCTATATAAAAGCAAATTTAATCAATGTTACTTAAGAGTGAGCTGTAAAGCTTTAGAACCTGCACCAGTTTTTATTCAGAAATGTCAATATGTGTCCCAATTCTTCCATTTTACATGCAGAAGTTTCATAACCTTCAATATCAGAACACTTATTTTTTAGACAATTTTTAAAGAAGTTGATTATTTTAGGTATTGACTAATTAACCTATAAAAATGAGGAGATGATTTCCCATCACCATTCTCATAAGGAATGGATTCTTAAGAATGGCCTTTCAAATTTCTTTTTGTATATCTAGGGAATTCTAGCCAATTATGACAATATTGGGGATGCAAAGGAAAGCTGAAACTAGAAACATGTTTTAAATATATTTCAGTACAATGAAAACTGGCATTTACTTTTTTTCTGAAAATGTATAGTGTTAAAGAAAATGCATATTCTAATTTCAAATTATATTGTCAAATTTTAATATGTCATAAGACTACCTATTATTTGCTGACTTTCTCCTTCCAAGACATTTCTTTTCTTTTCTCGAGGCTTTTCAATTTGTTGACTTCTCCCAAATTTCAAATCACAAATTTGCATCAATTTCTAAAAGGCTGTGTGACAATCATCTAGAAATTTATTTTGTCTGTCAATCACAAGATTAACCTACTTTTATTTATTCAATTCATTGATAAATCATTTTAAAATTTAAAAAACTAAGACATATCTTATCCAGCTTGTTCACAGACTTGAGGTGAATTCTATGGGCATACATCAGAGCTGGACAGTGATATCAAGTGATGGTACACATTATTGTATTTAAAATTGTTTATCCTTTTTCCATGTAAGTCTCTGAAAAGTTTCCAGACAAGCTGGAGGTCATTTTAGTTGACCTACATATTGGTTTTAAAAAAAAAAATTTCTGAGTTGGAACTTAGTGTGCTAAGTTTTATGCAAATCCTGGTTCACTTTTATCATTTTTCTCATTCAAAAATATTTTTAAAGTTCTTTAAGTAAAAATGGGAGTGTTTATCTTTTACTCATTCCAGAGGATTTTCCCAAATCTATCAGTGTTTTAATAAGCACCAAAAAATAAATTTTTAGAAAAAGGAAGAGATGTCAAGAGTTGAGGAACCCCACTGCAACATACTAAAGGACAGAATTAACGTGTCTTTGCCAAAGAGGTCAGAAAAGAAATGCCAATAGCAATATTTTATAAGTGATTTCACCAATCAAAACTATAAAGGACATAAGAAAACTGAGCCACCAGTAGGTCTTCAAAGCAGTTTTTTACTCCTTGTCTCTTAAAACTTTAGACTTAAGGAATCTTACCAGTTTGTAACATCTGAGGCAATATGATCATTACAAATTTGACCAGTATTTAACAATTGCCTTCATAAATCGAATTGAGTGTGTCTATGCCCTCGTGTCTGACACTTTAATGTTGCAGTAGAGAATTCTTGAACCCAATAATAACAACCTTCGATTTTGTTTTTCTACTTCTTTTCTTAACATGCCATTGTCTGAAACATTTCTGCTAAAAAGATGTTTTGCAGATCAGCAACATTAGCATTACCTGGGAGCTCGTTAACAGTGTAGACTCTGAGGCCCCACTTAGGACCTACTGAATTAGAATCTGCAGTTTAATGTTGTACCTGGAAAACACCTATGCATATTGAAATGTGAGAAGCATAGGACTAAAGGAGTCTCTTAGTGTCTAAGAGAGTCTTTCTAGCAACACGTGAAGTATGACATTTTCTTATAACTTTACCTGCTATTAGCTTTGCCCAGTGAATTTCTTTCTTTCTTTTTTTTTTGGAATACCATTTTATATTTTCAGATCTACTGATTCAGGCTCTTGCTACTCATTTCTGCTCCTCCTTAGAGCAGTAATAGTGATGTTTTAAAATTTAAATCTCCCTCTCCATTCTTCATTCATATTACTCCTCCCATTGCTTGCAGAATCTAGCCACATTATGTCAGTTGAACACTCCAAAGCTTTTCCTGTTTCTGCTTAGAACACATTGTTGCTAGCTGATCAATATATACAGGTCAGGCCCTTCCCTTGTCTTGCATCAGCTCAAATAACCTGTCCTGTGAGGGGCTACCTGTTTTGCAAACCAGATACTTTCTAATTTTCAACTTTATAGTTGATGTCACTTCAAAGTACATATCATGATCTGAGATCACTAATTGTGTGCAAGGAACTTGTATATCTTGAAATCCTATCACCAGAAACAGTGTTTACTCTGTAAGTCCTTCATAATTATTTTTCAATAAATAAATGAATAGTTCTATTATTTTATATCTTCTTTATTCAGTTCATGTAATTACCTAAATATATATGGAGTGCATGCAATTTTCCTGAGTGCTACTGTTAAGGTGAAAAAACAAAACAAAATGGAAGAGTCTCAGCTTCTACCCTATATTTGCTCTAGTGGAGACAGGCATATATAATGACAGATTACAATAAATGAGTAGGATTTTGATAGGAGAGTGGGTCATTTTAGGCCGAGAAACATATACAAAAGCTAGTGTGAAAGAACCTGATATCTTAATGAAATGATGAGACTCATCTTTAAAATTACTCTAACAGGAGACATTTGCTAACTATAAGTAGAAGTATGAAAAGACACAAGAAAATGCAACAGCCTATAGGTTACCAGAAGGATGATGCGAGTCAAATTCGAATGTGGATATGAATAATCTGGGGTTCTTGTTAAATGATAAGAGACTACTTATGACTGAAGCATAATTTGTGAGACCACCAGGATCTCCTGAGATTACTTGACTTCTCCACTCTCCTATATCTGAATACAAATAAATGAAAACAAAAATAAAAACCATGCAAACAAATAAACAAAAAAAGAATTTTAAGAAGCCACTTTGAAAGACAAAATGCACAAGACAATTAAGAATATAATTTTATTTTGGCTATGAAATCAGAAGAACTTTAATTGATAAAAAATGTCTCAAAGAGGAAGAAGATCACTAGGCACTTACAAAACAAGATAATAATTGAGGAATGGTGGAGGTAGGCCCTATAAAGTGGTCATTTACAGTTTTTCTGAACACAAATTGTTGGGAGAATTTTGTAACTGCTATGGATTGGCTGTGTCCCCTCCAAATCTCATCCTGAATTGTAGCTCCCATAATTCCTTCAAGTTGTGGGAGGGACCCAGTGGGAGATAATTGAATCATAGGAGTGGTTTCCCCCACACGGTTCTCATGGTGGTAAATAAGTCTCATGAGAACTGACGGTTTTATAAGGGGAAGCTTCTTTTGCTTGGCTCTCATTCTTCCCTTGTCTGCCACCATGTGAGACATGACTTTCTGCTTCTGCTATGATTGTGAGGCCTCCCCAGCCATGTGGAACTGTGAGTCTATTAAGCTTCTTTCTTTTGTAAATTGACTCGTCTTGGGTATGTCTTAATCAGTAGTGTGAAAACAGATTAATACAGTAACCT